TCGAACACTCGTCAGGCTACGGCAATCTTGCAGGCATGGCCTCTTGGGCGGTCAGTCGATTTAGGGTACCGATTGTCATCTACTGTACAGCCTGAACTGCCTGTGCCAGCCTACACTACGGATATCGGTTCGAAGCCCGTGATTTCTAGATTCAGAATCATCGCGCGTCAATCGATATCATTGCTTCCGTTTCCGTTGCCACATATCAAACAACCCAGAGCTATAGAGCGGATCACTCTACTCAGACGGCCGATTTCTTATCGCCTTCTACAGAAGTCGGATCAATCGTTGTCGCGTTGCATTCGGCCACGCCTACGGTATGGCCGTGTGGGGGCTGTGCTCCCGGTGTATGATGCTCGGCAAAGTGGCTGTGCCCCCGATGCACTGCAGCAAGGGTCGGGCCCGGACAACTTGAATGCACGCACTGCTAGTAACGTTAATTTTTTTTCCTTGTTTTTTCCCCCGAGGCTGTAAGCAGATGGGCTGTTGCACCCAATCTGGCAGCTATCATATACGGCGACCTCACATGCGCCAAGCATGTGCTTACTGTTGGAACTCTGAGAGGTCCCCGATACAAAGTGCACTTCTACATCTATGCACTCTAATGCTCACTACACGAAGATGACTCCGCTAATTAGCAATAGAGAGAAAAACCGAGTCTCATGGACATTTGATATAGAGCACAATATTTCGAATTAATATCTTCATACACAGTGAGTGAGCAGGACTCGATGCCCGCCTCGATTGATTACACTTCTTTAGCGAGCTCCAGGTGTTGCTGCTAAACCCTTGATTGACTGCCAGAGAGATGGAGACGGCCCAGTCTGCTCAGTCTCCAAATCTTTGTCTCTAGGCTTGGCCGTGTATCCCATGTTTGGGATGACTTCCGAGTCCTTAGCCGTCCGATGCGGCGCTGTATAACCGGTCCGCACTGCCATCAGATTGGGATAAGTACGCGACTAGAGCCAATCATCACCTTGAAGACTGAACACACCTCCGGTTTTGTTCTTTGTTTTCTCAACAGCAGCTGCGAAGCTAGCTTTTGCTTGTTCTGCTTTGTCCGACATTCTTCGTTGATTGAGTATATGGTTCGTTGAAGTAGAGACGCTGCTGTGTTTTGGGATCAGGTTTAATAATGAACACCTCAAGATCTCGATGACGGCGAATTATAAGACCGGGGATTCCAGAGGCATCCCATAGGTCCATATGACAGGCGGATAATGTGTGCGCTTGAACATTGGGTGGGCAAGCTTGTGAGGTCATGGTGATTGCACAAGCCTGCAGAATTGTGTCAGCGTTAATCAATTGCCATGAGAGGTAAGCGCCTAGCAACCAATCATACAGCTCAAATGTCCTCCAAGATTATCTCCTGTCTGTTCAGGCATTTCATTCTTTTGCAACTCGCTCTTTGAGCATCTCAACCTCAGGAAAAGATACTGTTTTGAAATATCAAGACTCGGCAATGTATGGAAAGTTTGCTGCGAAAGTCCTTCTGACTTCCCCGCAGACCTTCATGCCGATTTGAGAGTATCATCCTCAATCACAAATTGAAGGCAAGGGAGAAGACCCTAATCCCTGGGCGTAAAGTCTGTGGTCTTTTAGATACGACGAAGCAAGTGGGTTTCGCAATAGATACAGATGCTTGAATAACTGACATCTGTCACGAATCTTGAAGACCATAAGAAAGCTAACTCGGTATCTAAACTCACAAAATGCTGCTAACTATATCATAACTTGGACTCCAGCTCTATGATCACACTCTTAGTCTCCAAGAAGTTGTTCATGCTCTCCAGCCACCCTTCTCTGCCTTGCCCCGATGATTTATAACCACCGAAGGGGAGATCCTTGGCAGTGCTGGGACTTGTGCAATTAATCCCTACATAGCCGCTCTCAAGGGCCTTCGCAACCCTCAAGGCTCGGTCAATGTTCCTAGTATAGACTGCCGCATAAAGGCCGAACTCGGTATTATTCGCCTTTTGAATTGCTTCGTCTTCGCTCTCAAAAGTGTTGATATTCGCTACTGGGCCGAAAATCTCCTCTTTCATGATGCGTGCCTCCTCGGGCGTGTCTGTGAACACAGTAGGCTCGACAAAGTACCCATTCATCTTCTCCAAGTTGCCCTGGCCTCCGAGGGCCAGTTTTCCTGAATTCTTGCCTTCCTCGATGTACGCCATGACGGATTTGTACTGCACCTCATCTGCCTGAGGTCCGTGGTTGATGCCTTTGATAGTCGGGTCGCCTGCTTTCACACTAGCAAATGCCTTCTTGAAGGCTTCGATGAATGCGGGCGCAATGCTTTTCTCAACATACACTCGCGAGGTCGCCATGCAAACTTGACCACTGTTCCACTGTATGCTATGAGTCGTCTGCTTGACCGCTTTCTCAATATTGGCGTCATTAAAAATGATCACTGGGGACTTTCCACCAAGCTCGAGGATGACCTTTTTCAAGTTCGTCTTTGCAGCCTGTTCCTGAATAAGACGGCCAGTCCGACTCGATCCCGTGAATGTCAAAACTCGCACGTCCATATGCCGAGCTAGTGTGTTGCCCGACGGCAGGCCGTGTCCGCTGAGAACATTAAAGACGCCGGGAGGGAAGCCAGCCTGCGCAATAAGCTCGGCAACTCGTGCGGCAGCCAATGGCGCCTTCTCCGAGCTCTTGAGGACAACAGTATTGCCTGTGATGAGCGCCGGCGCTGTTTTACCAGCAAAGAATAACAGCGGCACATTCCAGGGGATGATCGCCGCTACCACGCCAAAGGGCTGCCGTAGTGTCATTGTCACATGTCCGGGGGTATTGAGGCTTGCCTGCCCCTGAATAGATGCCCATGATTCAGCGTAGTGATCATAGTGGCCTGCCGCAGCCATGGCATCGAAGTACGCATCAATGGGCCGTCCCATGGATATCGCCTCCAGGTGAGCGAGTTCCTTGTTATTTTCTCGGATGAGAGCCGCAAGACGTTTGAGACAGGCCCCACGGGCGGCTGGATCAGTCGCTGACCATGCCGGAAATGCTGCTTTGGCGGCGGCGACAGCAGCATTAGTGTCGTCCTCAGTGGCCTCAGGGACATCCGCTATCTTCTCTCTTGTCGCAGGATTATAAAGCGAGAATGTCTTGCCATCAGATGCACCACGAAGCTGAGATATGGGTCAGTCTTCTGGGTTGAAGCCTACTAATTGCGCATCAAACTTGCCTCTCCATTGATCAGCATGCTGGGTTTCGAGATAGTGGACATCTTGGTGGCTTCGAGCCCTTTCTCGATAAATTCCGAAATGCTTGTTGTCGTAGCCATGCTGATCAACTGGGTCTTCAGAAGCCCACGCAGCGAAACTTTATTCACGAATATTAACTTTTCTAGGACTGCTGAGCGAATAACTCTCGACCTTTTAGATTCTTGAATAGGACAGCGATAGCCACGGAGAGTTTACTCATCCATAGGCGTTATCAGGGTAAATGCCGTCTTTTCGGATAAAAGTGCAATCGAAGAAAAGGGTGTTATGTGGAATCAACCCAAGTCGCATTGGAAAAGTAGAGTCCGAAGACTTCAGCTTGGCCCCGCAGTGCCGTTACTCAAGTATGGTCTCGCCCATGACTTTCTCGGCAGTTACCCCAGATTGTCGTAAAAAGGGGTGCGGGGAAACTGAGGTGCCACCATCGCAGCCAAAGCGGGAAATCATTGATCTCAAAGTCTTGAGTAACGCGGGGCTGGTGTTTTCTAGCTTGGCTTGGAGAATCATCTTAGCTCGCTTCGATAAAGCTAAGGTGACGCTGTGCTTCAGGAGAATCCAAAGGAGGCAACAACTCCATACATTACGAAGATACCGCTCGCCCTAGCTGGGATACACTGTTGTCTGACCACCAGCATTTGGAATATTTGTGATTCCAAGCAATCCATAGTATCGTTCGGGCGAACCGAAAATGGCTCCAAGAGGAACAATTGCCATCGAAGAAGCAGTGCTTAACCCAGATGGCATATCATGGATGGCAGAGTCTGCATCACTTTTTGCACCAGGCCAAGACACAGCACAGCTGAAACATCATGGTCTTACCCAAAACCTTCTTGATATTCATGAGCAGCGGATTCAGCAAATGGACGCCGAGGGTGTCGAGTACATGCTTCTCTCTTTGACCTCTCCGGGAGCACAAGGAGAACTAGACCCCACAAAAGCAAGCAAGATTGCATCAGAAGCAAACGACTGGCTATCTGCCCAGGTTGCCAAGAATCCTGGCAGATTTGGTGCTTTCGCTGCTCTGTCCATGCACAATGCCGAAGAAGCTGCCGTGGAATTAAGACGGGCTGTGAAAGACTTGGGTATGTTCGGGGCAATGCTGAATGACTTCCAAACTGTAGGGTCAGATGGCTCAGGGAAGAAGTATTATGACGAGCCGGAGTATGATGCCTTTTGGAAAACAGTTGAGGAGCTCGGTGTTCCGGTCTATATGCATCCACGATATCCTCCAGCACCGGACTTGCGGCCTAGTGAGAAGTACGGGCCAAGGAAGCACATTCTTGGTGCTGCAGTACAATTTCATCTTGATCTTAGTTTTCACATATACGCACTCTGCTCGAGCGGCATATTCGATAAATACCCAGGTGTGCAGGTTGTCGCGGGACATCTTGGAGAAGGGTGAGTGGACTGCCTCGCTGCCTTCACTATCACAAAAGAGCTCAACTCTATTTAGAATTCCTTTCAATCTCTGGCGGGCTGATCATTGGTACAATAAGCCAGTGAAGAAAGCCACTAGACCATCGAAAGAAGACTACTCATTTTACTTCAAGAACAATATTTCGATCACAACCTCTGGAGACTTTTCAACATCGGGACTGAAGTTCTGCATCGATGCAATCGGGGCTGATCGGTGTCTATTCTCGATAGGTAAGAAGTTCATATCCAATTGAGACTGGATAGGTATGCTCGTTGAATAAGTGCTGACTAGATAGACTACCCTTATGATTCGATAAAGGAAGCCCAGGATTGGTGGAAGGGAGTGGATCTGCCCAAAGACCAGAAAGAGGCTGTGGCTCGATCAAATGCCATTCGGCTGTTCAAACTTCCCCTCGAATTGTAGCCACAATCTTCTGCCAGTATACTTCATTCCTTAGCCGCGACTTTCTGATCGAGAGGCTCGGTCCTCTCTTCAATCAGATCCCCCGAGTCAAGAGCTTCTTCGGCTTGAGCATTTCGATGAAACGGCTCGCTCCTATCACCATTAGCCTTTGTGCATGCACCGTAAGATCAAGAACATAGATCAGCTCACTGTTGTCTTATTTCACGCTTATGGAGATACCTAGTCACAAAGGCCGTTGCAATCAATAGTGCACTAATGAATGACACTGTTATGTAGCCCTTGTGGTACCTTGGAGCATCGACCTGTTGCCAGACAATCAATGGTAGCCATGCCTGCAGAACATATGCCATTTCGTTCATAGTCGCTGTGACAATCGCCCGTTCTTCGTTGTCGGCGGTACAAATTTCATGGGCCCATCTGTACCATATGTCAATAGAGGATGACTCGGGCCCGTAAAAAAATGCTGCTTACGCAAAACAGAGACCACTTAGTCCACCACCACAACCGGCCATGATGAACGATGCCCACTTCCATCGAACTGGGATATCCCAGACTGCTAGAGAAACCTCACACATAATATTCATGGCCTAATCCCTGTCAGCTGTCTCTTCTTTATTGGTCGATTACGGGTGTTACACGTACACCGCCGAACACGATAGGAGGCCACCGAGAGCCGCGCAGGAAGGTGTCGGAAGACCCTGACTGGTATCAGTATATGTGACAATCCCTGGTGATATAGTGTCAGACGTACAAGCATAGGCCAGAGTAGTAATCACTTGCACGGCGCTGGTTAGTGTTGGATAGCTGTTGATCTGCGTGATGCTGTACTTCGGATTCGTTGAGGTCTTCAAATACCTGGGTACGGATTAGTAGAGACGCCATGTTTCTTAAAAAGTATGAGCATTTTACATAGCAAACCCTGGAGCCGCGCCAACTCCTCCGTTGTTGAAAGTTCTGGAGGGTATTTAGTCTGTTGCTGCCGATAAACTAAGGGTTACTTACACGTAGAGAAGAGTAAGCACATAGATATGCCACGACGAGAGTATCTTTTTGATCTTTGCCACTGAATACGGTGCTCTCTTGCTGCGGCCTTCAAGTTCCATTCGCTTCTGGGCAAGTTTCACCTCCTGAAAGCAAATTGGTTGTCAGTCTTGGAGTCTCATAACGGCGAGCGAAGAACCATGGTTTACTTCTTCAGACAGATACCAAGGATTGGCAATCTCTGGCAAGTCAGGGAGCATGAAATAAGCAGATATAGCAATAGGCAGCGAGATGATGCCGTCCACGATAAACAGCCTATAGAGCCAAGTTAGTACTGTTTGCCAGCTTTCTTGTCTCGTTTCCAACTTTACGTACCATTGCCAACCCTTGAAACCGCTGGTACCACCCAGGTGATATACTGCAGCCATCAAATAACCTGAGAACATGCTACCAATTGCACTGCTTGTATGGAAGATGCATGACCGTTTGGCAAGCTCATCTTTGCGATACCAGGAGCCGATAATGTATTGAATACCAGGATAAAAGGTGCTCTCAGCTAGACCGACGAGGAATCTCACGGCGTATATCTGTCCGGCTGTGTTACATCGAGAAAGTGTCATAGTGAGTACTGCCCAGAGTGTCTGCGTGGATGGCTTAGCAAGCAAATTCCGATGAGTTTTGAATGTTTCGGAGACTTACCTCCATCAACGGAATCCATATTCTTGGTCGTACTTTGGTTAAGATGATATTGCTAGGTATCTCGCCGATCACATACCCTACTGTCCATGCAGTGGTCATGTAATTCAATTGGTTCTGGTAAAGACCTAGGTCTTCTTTCCTGCCAAGTGATACAAATAAGTACTCCTATTGGTACTCCCTAAACGCCCAGAAACGAGAAAGAGACCCACATTCCAGAGACGAAGGCATTGTTTATGTTGACTTGATCCAGATACTTGATGAAATACCCTACTTGATGTTAAGGACAACCTAGACAAACAATTGCTCAGATAGCGAAGTTCTTACCCAATGATGCATAGGTGAGCAGTGCTGCATCAAGCTTGAAGAGAAAACGGCGTTCTTTGGGCGACTTATCAAAGGTATCCCAGATGAAATAATACCACTTTCTCTGGTTTTTATGAGCTGAATCAAAGACAGCCGTGGGATCCTCGACAGGTTCCGGAATATGGACAGAGGAATCACTGCGAGCCATATTTTTAGCAGCTGTGCAGGGGTACA